GTGTGCATAAGTAATAAATGAGTATCTAATTCTAGGCGTTTTTATAAAACTACAAGAAATGAATTTACCTCTCATATTTTTTTAACTAACAGTTAGACACCTAACATTTATACCTTCCCCTTCTACAAAACAACAACACCACCACCAACAGCAGCAGCAACAACAAGAAGAATGATACAAAAATACAAATCAATTGGTTATGAAGCAGTTTCAACTTTCACTTACAGATACACAACACTGTCCATGTGTTTGCCTGCCCCGCTGAAGGTGGTAGAGTTCAAAGCCAGCCTGTTCCCACTTAGTTGTCTGAAAGATTGGGTCACGTAATAGGAGGAATCAGAAACTTAGTGAGATCTTTCTTTAAAAGTGAGAGGGAAAAATACAATAGAACCTGTCCTAGACGACCACGAATTTGTGAGTAAAAACTGTGGTTATCTTAGACAGGTTGTCCTCTTGAAATGGTTATTATAATATTATTAACAAAACAAAAACAAACACAACAACAAGTCCCTAAAAAAAAACCCCCCAAAAAAACCCCTGAAAGAAACAATTAAAAAACCCCCAGCAAAGACCGCAAATGTGAAGTGGGAGGTAGCGTTTTTTTTTACAGGTCTTCATCTTTGACAGGTGGTTGTTTTAGCAGGATCCACTGTATAATTATCAATATTGATGTGCTTACACTAATAATAATAGAAACATAGGTGCTGCGAAATCACTTAACTCGTTTACGTGCAGACATGAATACATAATAAGCATACATATTACGCACACTCATATACACGTACATAATCACATACACATCCACAGTACTTACATACACACACTCCCACTAAGTATGTAAGAACACTCAGTTCTATTTGTAAAAGACAGATAGAGAGATAGATTGATAGATGGACAGACCGAGAGAAAGAGAGATAGAATTAGAGAGAATGAACGATAGAAAAATAAATAGATAGATAGATAGATAGATAAATAGATAGATAGATTGACAGGCATCCAGACAAACAAACAGACACAATGTACCTACAGTTTGTTTATCTGTTCCAGCGGGTTAGGGATAGGAAGCTGCCTGTAACCTTTGCCCTCACAGCTCATCATCTGGTCATAACACATGCAAAGGTTCTGTCCGTACGGGCATGGGTGCTCTGTCATCAAGGAATGGCATGCATTGATAAGTTTGTTAAGAGAATGTGAGACGTAAGAAGAACTTTAAAATAATGAAATTGTTTAGATTGGCAACACAGTAAGTTATTTAATTAAGATACAGAGTTTCCAATTTAAGTCCATCTTCAATAAGATCGACAGATTTAGAGTGTTTTTATCACACATACACAGGCAAACTACACAGACACACACGCACACGCAGACAAACAAACAATAAAATATACACACAAACAAACACACATTAAAGTTTCCAGAAAGCAGACGACAGAAAGTTGCCAGAGAGCAGGAAAGGG